CCTGGAAACCTCACACATGCCAGCAGCAGCGGGTGGCGGGGAGCCGGACTGAAAGCTGTGCACGGCAGGGACGGGATGGGACCAAGGGGGACACTGTGGGGCCGGCCGGGGTGAGAGGACACGCGGGGAGGCTGGCAGGTGGGGTCCGGGGACCGCTCCAGGCAGAGCCAGGGGAGAGACCCATCTCCAAATATTGGTGGAGCAGGGCCCCCGGCTCTGAATATTAACTCGCCGCCCATGGCGCCCAGCACACTTCCGGGTTCAGGCCGTGGGGCCCCTTTAGGCGCGGGGCCTGATTCAGGGGAATCGGGCGAATCAGCCTAAGGCTGGCCCTGGTTGACCCCCTTCTCCCTCTCTCCCGTTCCCAGAGAGCACTCTGAGGGCTCCCAAGAACCTGCAAGGCAGAGATCCTGACGCTCATTGAGGTGTGCAGCGAGGAAGAAAACCTCCAGGATCTCCACTCCAGACGGCGCAACGCTGACATCTAAGGCCACATGGCCAATACCCTGGCCACATCCAGACCCAGGAGCAGGCCCAGATGAAAGTTAAAGAGTTCTGCCACAGTAAGGGGGCACAGCTCCCACTCCAGGGCAACACCACACTCCTTCCCCTATTACCAAGACCTGCACCACATCCTGGGGGGCAGTGCAGCCCTTGACCCACCCTGGTGATCAACTCAGAGCTGGAGACACCTGTCATCACCCACCCAAGGGCCAGAGCCGGGGAGGAGAAGGAGGAGGACCACAACGCAGCCAGCTCCATCACCTCAATGACACTGGAGCCAGTACCCAATGGCCTGGATGTGTCCCAGGCATCCTCCAAAGCTGGGGAGGGAACATCAAGTGAGTGACCTTAGTATTCTCACACAGACAGGGTGGAGGTTGGTTGGTGTGTGCTCCTCGCTCAGCCTTCTTGGCCTGAGGAATTGCACTGCAGGCCATGCACAAAGATGCACATGCAGTGGCAGTCTGGGCCACACAGCCCCAGAAGGCTGCATTGGAGCACCCTGGGTTCCTAATCACAGGTTCTAGGGAGGCCAACCACACTTCAGACATGCAGGTGGGACACCCTCCCACCACAAGAAGAAAGCTGGGGACAAGGACACACAGACTCTGGAGTACCACATACAGCACGTGAGGATGCCTGCACACTTGAGGCAACACCCACTCCTGGGAACAGGGCTGCCAGGTATAGATGTCTGCTGCTCACAACCTCCTCCCCCCACAACCTTATCCCTTCTCCCCCAGTGGCCAGGGATACAAGTTCTCTCCCCTTGGGATACCACCACTGCTGGACCCAGTGTGTGGGGGGCAACAAGGCAAGCCCAGCCATCCCAAGGCCCCCTCCCACCCATAGTATGACCAGCAACCTCCCATGCCTGCTTGCCCCTGGGATGTGGGGGAAGGGGGAAGCAGGCCACACATAGACTTGCTCCTAGGATATCACCTTAATCTGACCTGAGAACTGACAGTCTCGGCTCAAGGTTGAGGGCAAAGCTTCAGAGACAGTGTCTCCAGGAATGACTGACCATCTCTTTTTATTCTCCCCTTTTGGCCAGCCGCAAGAGGAGGACAGGCAATACCACCTGAGGCAGCCGCC